AGCCGAGGGGCTCCTCCCGCTCCCTCTCTCCCCGAGGCCGCGGTCCCGGGCCGTCCCCGCCGTCACCACCCCTCCGACAGCCAGACCCTGGGCTCTTGAGGCCTGACCAGATCCCCCAAATCCGGGGGGCCTGGCGCCCGCGGTAGAGGAGCCATGAGGGCCCCCCGTTTACTCAGGTAGGACCCAGGTCCCTCAGTCTGGCGTCTCTCCTTCCCCTAGGTCTTTGCCGCCAGGCTCGGACCCTGCAGAGCCATGTCCATCCTCTACGTCTCCCCGCACCCCGATGCCTTCCCCAGCCTCCGAGCCCTCATCGCCGCGCGCTACGGGGAGGCTGGGGAGGGCCCGGGCTGGGGAGGGGCCCACCCGCGCATCTGTCTTCAGCCGCCTCCGGCGAGCAGGACCCCCTTCCCCCCACCCCGCCTGCCCGCCCTGGAGCAGGGGCCCGGTGGGCTCTGGGTGTGGGGGGCCCCTGCCGTGGCCCAGCTGCTGTGGCCCGCAGGCCTGGGGGGCCCTGGGGGCAGCCGGGCCGCCGTCCTCGTCCAACAGTGGGTCAGCTACGCCGACACGGAGCTAGTACCAGCTGCCTGTGGGGCAACGCTGCCCGCCCTGGGACTGCGCGGCTCCGTCCAGGACCCCCAGGTGAGTGGGGAAGACGGACGGGAGGGGGAGGAGAAGGAAGCAGGAGTTGGGATGGGTAATGGGACAGCGATAGTGTGTCGGTGAGGAAAAAGGTTGATCAAGTCCCAGATTGCCACCTGGTAACCTCTCTGAGCCTTGGTCTTCCTTTTGTCTCTGAAAACTTTAGTTTTCATGTTGAGAAGATTAAAAGACGTGTGCAGAGCACATGGTCTAGTGCCAGGCGCTTTGGAGTGAGTAAAAGTTTGATGAGTCTGAAACCCACAATAGAAGTTACTATGAACTGTAGGGAAAAAGTGGGTGAGGGAGAGATGAGAAGAGGCAGGTAGGGCCAGGAGAGATAAGGATGGGGGTGGGGGAGACATGAAATGAGGGGGAAGGCAGAGGAGAGAGAACCACACCAGATGGTAACCAAGTCCTTCCAGAGTGGGGCTGTGCCTTCTGGTCCTTATCACACACACGGTACATACTTAGTATTTCTTGAATGAATGAATATGTGACTTAGACCCTGGCTGGCTCCCTCATACCCTGATTACACTATCTAAAATAGAGGCCCCCTCTTTGGAATTCCTCAACCTGATTTATTTTATTTTTTTAATTTTTCTTCATAGCACTTAAGGGGAAAAATAGGGCAATGTATTATATATTTGTTCATTTATTGTCTCCCAATTAGAATGTAAACTCCCATCAGGTCAGGGGCCCTGTTCAAATTCTCTCCTTGTTCCTTAGAGAGGTATGTGGCATGTAGTAGGTGCTTAACAAATATTGTTGAAGCAATTGTTGTGTTGCCTTATGTAATCTTTAACTTCTTGTACTTAGTATATTGCAACTGATAAGTGTTCAGTAGGAATTTTCTGAATGAATGAAGCAACAAAGGGGCCACACGTGGGTGCCCCTTTAAAATATATATTTTTAAAAAATATATTTTTAGTGATTTCAGAGAGGAAGGGAGAGGGAGAGAGAGATAGAAACAGAAATGATGAGAGAATCATTGGTCATCTGCCTCCTGCACACCCCACACTGAGAATCGAGCCCGCAACCTGGACATGTGCCCTTGACCGGAATTGAACCTGGGACCCTTCAGTTGCAGGCCAACACTCTATCCACTGAGCCAAACTGGCTAGGGCAGGGCTTCTTTTTATTATGACCATTTCAAAGAAGATGAAACTGGCCCAGAGGTCATGATTTGTGGGAGTGGAAGGAGGCCAAGCCCTGTCTCATATCCCTTCCCCTTCCGGCTAGGCTGCACTGGGGGCTCTGGGAAGGGCCCTGAGCCCCTTGGAAGAGTGGCTTCGGCAGCACACCTACCTGGCCGGGGAGGCTCCCACTTTGGCTGACCTGGCGGCTGTTACAGCCTTGCTGCTGCCCTTCCGATATGTGAGTCACTCGGGCCTGGGGAGGAATAGGGGCAGTTCCTCTCTGGCCTCACTAAAGGGTGACTAAGGGTAGTTGATTTCTTTTCCCCTTCCCAGGTCCTGGATCCCTGTGTGCGCCGGATCTGGGGTAATGTCACTCGCTGGTTCATCACCTGTGTCCAGCAGCCAGAATTCCGGGCCGTGCTGGGAGAGGTGGTTCTGTATTCAGGGGCCAGGCCTCTCTTCCAACAGCCGGGTAAGGAAGGGGAGGTGGGAGGGGAGGGGTTCCTCGCGGTCTCCCATGCAGCTCACTTTCTTATCTTAGAATGCAGAATCCCTTGAGCAGGGGCCTGCGGGAGGGCAAGGTGGGAGGTCAGCATGGGGAAGCCCTTGGGCAGCTGGAATGACCGTCTGAGACACAGCAGCACCTTCACAGAGGGCCTCAGCAGCTAAGTCTGCATTTCTGGGCCTCTCACCAGGCCCTGAGGTCACTGCACCTCCAAAGACACCTGCTCAACTGAAGAAAGAGGCAAAGAAACGGGAGAAGCTAGAGAAATTCCAACAGAAGCAGAAGATCCAACAGCAGCAACCACTGCCCAGGGAGGTGAGAGGCTAAGGGGAGAGCTGAACAGGATGCTGGTGTCATGGTGGGGGCAAGGGGAGAGGCTGATCTCTGAGTCTGAGTCTATATCTTTCCCTCCCAAGCAGAAGAAGCCAAAACCAGAGAAGAGGGAGAAGCGGGATCCTGGAGTTATTACCTATGATCTCCCAACCCCACCTGGGGAAAAGAAAGGTACTGGGTCGGGGGAGGGACCCCCTCACCTCCCCCCTCCTCAGCTGCTGCTGCTCCTGTTGCCCTTCATGCTTGTCCTTGCTCCCACTACTTTTCTTGGTGAAGATTTGCGGAGGCCCAGGCCCTTCTCTGCTGGTCCACCGTCCTCTTCCCACCGGCCCAGCCTCCACACTGATGCCTGCCTTCCTCTCTCCCAGATATCAGTGGCACTATGCCCGACTCCTACAGCCCTCAGTACGTGGAGGCAGCCTGGTACCCATGGTGGGAGCAGCAGGGCTTCTTTAAGCCAGAGTATGGAGTGAGTGGCACTGCCACCCAGGCTGGAGGGGGAGGGCCTGGGAGTGGTGACATGGAGCCTTAGCATGTGCCCATCCTTCCTCCCCACAGCGTTCCAGCGTGTCAGCACCTAACCCACGGGGCGTCTTCATGATGTGCATCCCACCCCCAAACGTGACAGGCTCCCTGCACCTGGGCCACGCGCTCACCAACGCCATCCAGGATTCCCTGACCCGATGGTGAGCTCCTGTCCTCTCCCAGCTGCTTCCCTCGGCTTCCTTCCCTTCTCTTCCCTGAAGGCCCTCCTGCCTCTCTCCTTCCATTCTGGCCCTCAGCTCTGCCCCCTGGTGGTGGTACACTTCTCTCTGTCATTCCCTCCCCTCTGATCACTTGCTAGTAGCATCCTCCCCTGGTCAATAACCAACACTTCTCTCCTTCCTCTTGGTATTAGAAATCATATTACTTTGAATTAAACAAGAAATATTCTTGTAAGAAATGTAAAACTTCAAGTCTCCTTGATAACCCCCTCCAGACCTACTTCCCAAGACTTAGCCTTTGTTATCACTTTGTGGATCTTTCTAGATCTTTCCTGTCTATTACTCATAGGTACATGTACCCATAGAAATTTATAGTTTTCTTTTGGGTGGATTTTTTTTTCTGTCATGCTATTCTTCAGCTTTCTTCTTACACTGAATGGTTTTGTCTTAGAGATCTTTCCTTACCCTTATCCACAGACTGACCTCATTCTCTTTCATTGCCCTGTAGCATTCCATACTGTGACTATGCCATATAGAGTCACTTTCTAAAAAAAAAAATAATAATAAAATTAATGGTTGTTTCTAATTTTTCTCTGCTGAAAATCGCTTGCATGCACATTCCTGCACAAGCTTTCTCAGGCAGAGACGCTCTGTGGCGTAGCTGCCGGGAAGTGACTGCTCGGTCAGAGGGGCATGCCTGTGTTAAGCACAAACCGCAGCGCCAAGGTGCCCTACGAAACAGCTTTACCACTCATCTCCCTGTGAGGATATTTGTTTACCGTGGCCTTGCTAGCTCTGGGCTGTATCTTCATTTTGCTAAAATGGACAAAAAAATGGCACCTATGTAATTTCTGATTGCCAGTGGGCTGTGCTGCTTCCTGTGTCTGGGCCGGTCTGGTTTCCCCTATGTGCACTGTCTGTGCGTCTCGATCGTTTGCCCATCTTTCTATTGATTGATTCTTTGTTGTTTTCTTCTTCTTTAATTGGTTGTTGGATGATTCTTTACATAATCTGGGTATTGTTTTTTTTTATATAATTTTATTGATTTCAGAGAGGAAGGGAGGGGGAGAGAGAGAGAGAAACATCAATGATGAGAGAGAATCACTGATTGGCTGCCTCCTGCACGCCCCACACTGGGGACGGAGCCTACAACCCAGGCATGTACCCTGACCGGAATCGAACCGTGACCTCCTGGTTCATAGGTCAACACTCAACCACTGAGCCACGCTGGCCAGGCTGGGTATTGTTTTTTTATTTGTTATATATTGTAAATGTTTACTCCTGTTCTAGCACTTGCTTCCCCTCCCCCTGCCTTATCAACCTGCCCCACTGTCAATAGTTTAATTAGTTAACAGATATAGAGTTAATATTCTAGGTGACAAATTCCTTTAAAAAGTATTTTAAGTCCTGGCCAGTGTGGTTCAGTGGGTTGAACAAGGTCCCATGCACCCAAAAATCACTGGTTCCATTCCTGGTCAGGGTACATGATCCTCAGCAGGGGATGTGCAGGAGGCAGCCGATTGATGGTTCTCTCTCTCTCCCTCTCCCTTCTTCTCTCTAAAATCAATAAAAACATTTTTTAAAAAAGCATTTTAAAACAACTTTTTATCTTTGGAAACCAGGATTATTTATTATATTTTAAGTTTTGAGACATTTTTCTAATTTCCTGAATTAATTTAATCAAAAATATTAATTAATTACTAAATTAATCAAAAAATATTTCAGGCCAGCACTGCTCTGGGTATTGGGGGATAATGTCAGATTTAGTGTTTTGCAAGGAATTGAGAGCTGGCAAAGAGTTTTATTAAATGCATATAACAAGAATGGCCAAGTTATTTACATGAGAATAGAGTTAACACTTCTTACAAAACTCTTAGGGTAGCCACATTTTTTCTACCGAACATGATTTAAATAAGATGTTAGAAACTACCATTGCTTAAATGGAGTAGATTTATATCAATATTTTAGAATAAAAATGAAAATAAAATAATGTGAAATACAGCTTTAAATATCTCCACCAATAAGACATTATAAAAATGAGTTGAATAGCTATATTTTTTCTTTTTCTTCCTCCAGCAGAGAATAGGGTGCTTTTCTACAAATATCCATGGCATTGATTTATTTTTATTATTTTTTTAATATATTTTATTGATTTCAGAGAGGAGGGGAGAGAGAGATAGAAACATCAATGATGAGAGAGAATCATCGATCAGCTGCCTCTTGCACACCCCCTGCTGGGGATTGAGCCCGCAACCTGGGCATGTGCCCTTGACTGGACTCGAACCTGGGACCCTTCAGTCCACAGGCCGACGCTCTATCCACTGAACTCTCCACTGAGCCAAACCAGCGAGGGCTACCACTTGCTTTTTAACTTCACTGAGAGGTGTTGCTGTTCTGAGGTTTTGCTGTAATCGGTTCGACGATGTTCTTAGATTTCATCCTGCGTGTCTGGTTTAGGATGGCGTCTCCTGCCTCAAAGTTACACACATGGCCACCTGTATTACTGACTTCTTTATTTAATTTTTGGAAAACGATGTCATTTTCTGAGACTTTTCTTATAGTTCTGTTTTTCTATATTGATTTTTTTAATCTGACTAGAAATTATTTATTTATTGTTAATCCTCACTTAAGGGTTTTTTCCATTGATTTTTAGAGAGAATGGAAGGGAGGGAGAAAGAGAGAGAAACCAATGTCTCTCTCTTACATCAATTGGTTGCCTCCCATACATGCCCCGACCGGGTCAGGGATTGAACTGCAACCCAGGTACGTGCACTTGACTGGGAATCAAACCCGTGACCCTGCAGTGCTGGAGCTGACACTAACCACTGAGAAACACCAACCAGGGCTGACTATAATTTATTTTCGTGAATATTGGGAAGTAGGGGGATGTTTTTCCAACTAAGCAGTTAGTTGTTCCAAAAAAATTTTGAATTGTTTTCCTTTTTCATACTGATAGGAAATGCCACCCAGGACAGATACTAAATTGGCTTGGATCTGTTTCCAGTCACTGTTTTGTTCCCTTTCATCTGTAACTTTGTTCCTATGTTGTAACTAATTGCTTGAATAATCATAATTTTCTCATATGTTTTGCTATCTAGTTGGGCAGGAGCCTCCTCTTTGTTCTTTTGCCAAATTGCTTTGGCTATCCTTGCCATGTCCTCCCCAGACTGAAACTTTAGAATTGGGGTCCCTCTCCACTGCCCTTTTCCCTCCCGAGCCCATTGACTTCTTCCCCCAAAGCCCCTCCAGGTGCCAGCTCTGCCGCCCACTCACTGCCGCCCTCGGCGCTCTTCCCACAGGCACCGCATGCGCGGGGAGACCACCCTGTGGAACCCCGGCTGTGACCACGCAGGCATTGCCACGCAGGTGGTCGTGGAGAAGAAGCTCTGGCGCGAGCAGGGGCTGACCCGCCACCAGCTGGGCCGCGAGGCCTTTCTGCGGGAGGTCTGGAAGTGGAAGGAGGAGTGAGTGTGCCGCAGCCCTGCCTCCCGCCCCTGGCCCCTGTCACCTGCGACCCTGGTCACAGGCTGCACAGAACCTCTCACAGAGGCTGAGGGTCGGTGGCTTCAGGACGAGGTCCCTTTCAGAGAATGAGGGGTCCTCGCGCTGCCCCGCCAGCCCCCCGATGACTCCCTGCAGCCGGCCTGAGTGCTGATGCGCCTCCTGTCCACTTCCAGGAAAGGGGACCGGATTTACCATCAGCTGCGGAAGCTCGGCAGCTCCTTGGATTGGGATCGAGCCTGTTTCACCATGGACCCCGTGAGTGGGAGGGGCTGGGGCTGGGGAGGCTCCATAGAGAGCGCCTGCCGTGCCCTCCGCGGTTAGACCCACACGGAAGCACCGAGGGCTCAGCTGCAGATCTCATGTCTGGTCCCGGGTCACGACCCTCTGTCCCCTGCCCCTCTGGGAGCTCCACGGGCCTGCACTCCCAGGACTGCCTGCGCTGGCACCCTGCCATCTCCAGCATCACCAGGCCCGTGCCTGTCCTTGTGTTCCCAAAGCCCCCTCCATGGTCCCCTCTCCCCTCAGGAGCGCATTTCCCCCTTGCAGCCTCGGGGGGGTCTGGGTGCTGGGCAGTGGGACTCTGGACCCTGCTGCCCTGGAAATTCTGCCTGGCCCACTCCCTGCTCCCCTAGAAACTGTCCGTGGCTGTGACAGAGGCCTTTGTCCGGCTCCACGAGGAAGGCATCATCTACCGCAGTACCCGCCTCGTCAACTGGTCCTGCACCCTCAACTCTGCCATCTCCGACATCGAGGTGTGCCCCGCCCGGGACCTCCAGCCCCACCCCAGCCCCGGGCCCCGGGCGGCTTTTCCTAACGCCCCCTTCACAGGTGGACAAGAAGGAGCTGACGGGTCGCACCCTGCTCTCCGTGCCTGGCTACAAGGAGAAGGTGGAGTTTGGGGTCCTCATCTCCTTTGCTTACAAGGTCCAAGGCTCAGGTAGGAGCCAGGGGGGCACCAGGATCCTGGGCTGGATGGGGTGGGGGGCAGGAGGGGACCAGCGCTGAGGTCATAAGGTCGCCTGTCACCCCAGAGAGCGATGAGGAGGTGGTGGTGGCGACAACTCGGATCGAGACAATGCTGGGAGATGTGGCCGTAGCTGTGCACCCCAAAGATCCCAGATACCAGGTGTGGCGAGGGTGCTGCCGTGGGGGGGGTTACTGGCTGACGGGCCCCCGCGAAGGAGAGAGGGTTGATTAGACGGTCGCCTTGGGTCCCTGTCCAGCCTGCAGAGGGCATTGGAGTGTTGGACAGCCAGGGCCCTGGGAGTAGGGAGGGCCGGCCTTCATGTGTTGAGGCCCCTCTGTTCCCAGCACCTGAAGGGGAGGAGCGTGGTCCACCCGTTCCTGTCTCGCAGCCTCCCCGTGGTCTTCGATGATTTCGTGGACATGGAGTTCGGCACAGGTGAGCAAGGGGCTGTCCTGAGGGCAGGAAGGAGCCATGAGGTGCATCCCGCATCCCTCGTCCCTCTGAAGGACGAGAACACAGGCTTCAGCTAAACAGACAGGCCTTGGCCTGGTTCTCAGGACTGTCACGGGGAAGTGGGGGACAGGCGGCCTCCAACAAAAGGGGGTGCATGTGGGAAGGGACTCATTGAGTCCTCGTGGTCCTGGATCCCCATGTACACCCCAGGTGCGGTGAAGATCACCCCTGCACATGACCAGAACGACTACGAGGTCGGGCGGAGGCACGGGCTGGAGGCCATCAGCATCATGGACTCCCGGGGGGCCCTGGTCAATGTGCCCCCCCCTTTCCTGGTGAGACTGCCTGGGTGTGGGGCCAGGTCCCAAGTCGGCGGGGCACCACAGCACAGCCATGACGAGGCCTGTTCCCCCAGGGCCTGCCCAGGTTTGAGGCCCGGAAGGCGGTGCTGGCGGCGTTGAAGGAGCGGGGCCTGTTCCGTGGCATCCAGGACAACCCCATGGTGGTGCCGCTTTGCAAGTGAGGGCAGGGGCCAGAGAAGGGGGGGTGGCTCCTCGGGGGCTCCCCACCCAACCTCCCCACCTGTGTGTACCTGCAGCCGGTCCAAGGACGTGGTGGAGCCCCTGCTGCGGCCGCAGTGGTACGTGCGCTGCGGGGAGATGGCCCGGGCGGCCAGTGCAGCCGTGGCTCGGGGCGACCTCCGCATCCTGCCTGAGGCCCACCAGCGGACATGGCACGCCTGGATGGACAATATCCGGTGCGTCGGCTCGCTGGGAGGGGCTGGGGAGGGCTGAGCGCACCGGCCCGGCACCGCCTCCCCCTGACTCCTCACGCCTCTGCAGGGACTGGTGCATCTCCCGGCAGCTGTGGTGGGGCCATCGCATCCCAGCCTACTTCGTCACTGTCCGCGACCCAGCCGTTCCCCCCGGGGAGGTGAGCACATCTAGGGGCGCTGGGTTTGTTGGGTCCTTGGTGGGAGGCAGGGGTGCCCCCTGGGTATTCATGGCACCTGTGGCAGGATCCCGACGGGCGGTACTGGGTGAGTGGGCGCAGCGAGGCCGAGGCCCGTGAGAAGGCAGCCAAGGAGTTTGGAGTGTCCCCTGACAAGATCAGCCTCCAGCAAGGCAAGGCAGGGCCTTGGGGGTGGGGGGCAGGGCCTGGTCTCAGATCCTCACCTCTGACCTCTGACCTTTGACCTTTGGCTTCCCTCAGATGAGGACGTATTGGATACCTGGTTTTCCTCTGGCCTCTTCCCCTTCTCCATCTTGGGCTGGCCCAACCAGGTACGTCCTTGAGGCCAGCTCAGGTGGGGCAGGGTCTTGAGGTGGGTGCTCAGCTCCCCGTCACGCTCTGCTCTGCCCCAGTCAGAGGACCTGAGTGTGTTCTACCCGGGGACCCTGCTGGAGACGGGCCACGACATCCTCTTCTTCTGGGTGGCCAGGATGGTCATGCTGGGCCTGCAGCTCACCGGCAGGCTGCCCTTCCGAGAGGTGCGTGGCCGGCTGAGGCCTCCCGCTCAGGCTCACACGGCCGGGCCCTGGGCAGGGCCCCTGGACGACTGGGTGGGCTGTGGGGATTGGGCACCTCCTGGGACCTGCTCGGTGATTGTGCCTGGGCTTCCCAGAGGAGGGACTCCTCTAAGCCCATGAAGGTGCCGGTGGGGCTGGCGGGACACCAAGGGACTTGAGGTTCAGAGTGGGGTGAGAGGCAGGGCGGGGGGTGGCCAGGGGGGCCTGGCGGGGAGGCGGAGCCTCACAGCCCCTTCCCGCCTCAGGTCTACCTGCACGCCATCGTGCGCGATGCCCATGGCCGGAAGATGAGCAAGTCTCTGGGCAATGTCATCGACCCCCTGGATGTCATCCACGGAGTCTCCCTGCAGGTGGGTGCCCGGCAGCCGGGAGGCCTTGGGGAGGGCTGCTGGGCTGTGGCCATGCCCTGACCCCTCCCACTGCACCCTCAGGGCCTCCACGACCAGTTGCTGAACAGCAACCTGGATCCCAGTGAGGTGGAGAGGGCTAAAGAAGGGCAGGTACGTAGGAGGGCCAGGCCGGGGCGTGGGCAGAGGGAGGCGGGGCTGGCTCAGGACTCCAGCCCGGCTCCTCCGCAGAAGGCAGACTTCCCGGCAGGGATTCCTGAGTGCGGCACCGATGCCCTCCGGTTTGGACTGTGCGCCTACACATCCCAGGGTAGGACCCCAAATCTCTCCCCGCCCTCTTCCTCCCTGAGGCCACCCCTCCTCCGCCCTGGGCAGGCTGGGAGGGCGAGCTGAGGACACTTCCCGCACCAGGGCGTGACATCAACCTGGACGTGAACCGGATCCTGGGCTACCGCCACTTCTGCAACAAGCTCTGGAACGCCACCAAGTTTGCCCTTCGTGGCCTGGGCAAGGGTTTCGTGCCCTCGGCCACCTCCGAGGTGAGGGCCTGGTGGGCTCGGAGGAACCCCCACAGGCTGCACCCCGCCGCTCCGGCATCAAGCACAACCCAGGAGCCTCCATGTGGGGGGAGCGGAGCAGAGCAGAGGTTGCAGGAGATGCCCAGGCACTGGGTCCTCCCCCCATATGGGCATGTGGCTTCCCACCGTCAGGCTCTGAGTGCATATTTGCCCCTGGTTCCTGCCTCCTGGGGTTCTGGCTCCCTCCCCCCGGGCATCTCTCCCCTCAACTGGTGGCCCTGGCTGATCTGCCCCTCCCCCCAGCCGGGAGCCCACGAGAGCCTGGTGGACCGCTGG